GGATTACAGGCGTGAGCCACCGCGCCCGGCCCTATTTTTTTATTTTTATTTTTTAAAGACGGTTTCACCGTGTTGCCCAGGCTGGTCCCGAACTCCTGAGCTCAGGCAATCCGCCCACCTGGGCCTCTCAAAGTTCAGGATTACTGGCGCCAGCCACCACACCTGGCTGTAATTTATAAAGAAAATAAATTTATTTCTCACAGCTCTGTAGGCTGGGAAGTTTAAGAGCATGATTCCAGTACCTTGAAGAGGGTCATTCTGTGGCAGAAGGGCAGAAGATGGAAGCAAGTACAGAAGACAGAGAGAAGAAATCAGCTGAACTCGCTTTGAGAACAAACCCAGTCTCGAGATACCTAACCCACTTCCACAATAACAGCGTTAATCTGTTCATGAAGGCAGAGTCATCATGACCTTACCACCTCATAAAGGTCAATTAAATCTCATGGGTTTCAGAGGGGACAATAATTCAAACCATAGCAATATCTAAGTATAGATAAAGTCCAGGACACCCTAGGGGTGTCTGCAGTCCCAGCTATTAGGGAGGCTAAGGCAGAGGGGTGTCTTAGTCCAGGAATTTGAGACCAGCCCAGGCAACATAGTGAGACCCCCATCTCTGCAGATAAATAAATAAATAAGTACAGATGACACACATCAACATCCATATGCATTATGTATATTTATACATGCATAGAAAAGGTCTAGAAGGTAAACCCCTAACTTAATCGGGGCTTTCTTTTATGTTTGTTTGTTCGTTTTTTAAATGGAGTCTCGCTTTGTCGCCAGGCGGGAGTGGAGTGGTGTGATCTCAGCTCACTGCAACCTCAGACTCCCTGGTTCAAGCGATTCTCCTGCCTCAGCCTCCCGAGTAGCTGGGATTGCAGGCACGCGCCACCACGCCTGGCTAATTTTGTATTTTTAGTAGAGATGGGGTTTCACTATGTTGGCCAGGATGGTCTTGACCTCCTGACCTCGTGATCTGCCCGCCTCGGCCTCCGAAAGTGCTGGGATTACAGGGGTAAGCCACTGCTCTCGGCCAATTGGGGCTATCTTTTCAGAGGGATGTGGGCTTAGGAAGGGTGGAGGACAGTAAGGCTTGGAGTATTTCCATGTTGCCTTAGTCTTCCACTGTTGCTGTTGAGCAGCAGCTATATGATGTCTGTGTTAGTCCTCTGGCCTTCTGTTCAGCATGTGTTTGTTATCCTGTGTCTTTGGTATTCTGTCTTCATTACATACCCAGATGTAGATTTCTTCTTATTTACTCTGCTTGGGATTCATGGGATTTCTTGATTATGTGGGTTTAAGGTTTTCATCAGCTGTTCTTTCTTTAAATATTGCCTTTCTTGCCAGGCGTGGTGGCTCACACCTGTAATACCAATACTTTGGGAGGCCGAGGCAGGCGGATCACAAGGTCAAGAGATCAAGACCATCCTGGCCAACATGGTGAAACCGTGTCTCTACTAAAAACACAAAAATTAGCTGGGCATGGTGGCACAAACCTGTAATCCCGGCTACTCGGGAGGCTGATGCAGGAGAATGGCTTGAACCTGGAAGGTAGAGGTTGCAGTGAGCCAAAATCTAGCCACTGGACTCCAGCCTGGGCAATAGAGTGAGACTCAATTTCAAAAAAAAAAAAATTAACAAAAACAAAAATTGCCTTTCTTCTATTCTTCCCTTCTGGGACTCAAATTTGATATAGTTAGATTTTCTCATTATGTTCTATCTCTTTCCACCTATTTCATAGTTTCCTAAGTATCATAAGTTTGTATCTCTGTTATATTCCAAATAATTTTCTAACACATTTCTCCAGCATATTAGCTTTCGATCCAGTTGGATTTAATTCTAAGCTGTAGTTTGTCCCATTGAGTTTTTTCTTTTTCCTTTTTTTTGAGACAGAGTCTCACTTTGTTGCCCAGGCTGGAATGCAGTGGCACGATCTCGGCTCACCGCAACCTCTGCCTCCCAGGTGCAAACGATTCTCCTGCCTCAGCCACCCAAGTAGCTGGGACTACGGGCACCTGCAAACACACCCAGGTAATTTTTTTGTTTTTAGTAGAGACGGGGTTTCACCATGTTTGCCAGACTGGTTTCTAACTCCTGATCTCAGGTGATCCACACACCTAGGCCTCCCAAAGTGCTGGGATTACAGGCGTGAGCCACCATACCTGGCCTATTTATTTATTTTCATTTTTATTTTTATTTTGAGACTGAGTCTCAGTCTATCACCCAGGTTGTAGTGCAGTGGCATGATCTCTGCAACCTCCACCTCTCAGATTTAAGTGATTCTCTCACCTCAGCCTCCCAAGTAACTGGGACTACAGGCGCACACCACCAGGCCTGACTAATTTTTTGTATTTTTGTAGAGACAGGTTGTCACCATGTTGCCTAGGCTGGTCCTGAATACCTGAACTCCTGAGCTCAAGTGATCCACGTACCTAGGCCTCCCAAAGCGCTGGAATTACAGATATGAGCCACTGCACCCAGCCAGACAATTATATTATTTATTTTTACAAGAATGAATCAGAGGCCAGATGCACTGGCTCATTCCCATAATCCTGGCACTTTGGGAGGCTGAGGCGGGAGGATCACTTGAGGCCAGGAGATTGAGACCTGTTTGGGCAACATAGGGAGATCCTGTCTCTATAAAAAAATAAAAAATAGGCCAGGCTCGGTGGCTCACGCCTGTAATCCCAGCACTTTGGGAAGCCAAGGTGGGTGGTTCACCTGAGGTTGGGAGTTCGAGACCAGCCTGACCAACATGGAGAAACCCTGTCTCTACTAAAAATACAAAAATTGGTTGGGCCTGGTGGCACATGCCTGTAATCCCAGCTACTCAGGAGGCTGAGGCAGGAGAATTGCTTGAACTCAGGAGGCTGAGGTTGCAGTGAGCCAAGATCGCACCATTGCATTCCAGCCTGGGCAACAAGAGCAAAACTCTGTCTCAAAAAAAAAGAGTTCTGTGGAAAAAGAAAGGCATTCCCTGCAGGTGACAGCAAAGGTGAGGAGACCCCAAAGAACAGGAATGGTGAGGAGTCCTGGAGTGGAAGGCTGGGGATATTGCCCAAGCCCGTCCTTTATTCATGAGACCTCTGGTCCAGAGAAGTTAAGTGTGCTGCTCGTGTCACAGCACTGGTGAGGGGCAGACTGGAATCAGAAAGTAGGCCCTATTTCATCATTAGAGCCTAGAAAGCGGTCAGGGGAAAGAGGCTCTGCTTGAGAAGGTTAAGGCCAATGACCCACCCTGGGTCATCCCAAGTAAACCAGGAAGGAAGTGTAAAGAAACCCAACAAAGATCTGACATTTTTCCATGATGACCACATTGATGCACTTATTTATTTTTTTTATAGACGGGGTTTCAC